GTTTCTATGTTTTTTAAGATTTGTTATGGTGTTCGGATTATGTGGAGTTTCATATTGTCAAACTATTTTTCATCGAGTAGGTGGAACTTGGGATAATGTCATGTTTTTTTGGAGATTTGGAAAGTATTTTTAGGATCAATTTTATTTCAATTTGTCAAAACCATTTATTTTTAGGATATTTCTAAGATTTTCTTTATTTGTTTATATTATGTTCTTATGTTATTTGACTTGCCAGCTATCTTAGTTTGGTGCATTTACAGCCATCTTTTTCCGATAACACTTTATTTATTTCCTATTCACATAAATTTCATGTAAATTGATTATATTTCTTTGGTTATATTATTTAATAGGATAGAGGAAGATCAAAATTTACCCATTTTATTTTTTCATCATGAAGACTTTGATGATAATCTTTTGATTCATGTAATCGAATTAGCTGCTGAGGCTGCAAATTTGATCACAAAGGTATCAGGACTTCTATCACAAGAGTTCATAGCAAATACGCTTAATTTCCGAAGTCCTCGACGTGGTATTACAGATCTTGGTCTCACATACTTACAGTCCAAGATGAATAATCATCCACAAGATTTTCGTAAAATTTACCGCATGTACCCAGATTGCTTCATGAAGTTATGAAATATCTTGAGAGAGCGGGGCCATATACAAGACACATACTACATTAGTGTTGAGGAGATGATTGCTTATTTTTCTTCTCACGGTTAGTCAGAATCAACGATACTCTGTTGCAACTGATCGATTTGATCGCTCAAAATGGACCATCAGTGTATGTTTCAATAAAGCATTATGTGCCCTGGTATCTTTAGCATCATGCTTGATGGCATCACCCCCTACTAAACCACCTGATAAGGTTAAATCAGAATCTCGCTTTTGGCCTTATTTTAAGGTAATTCTTATTGCTTTAGAATTTACACATGCAGACACACACACACACATGCGTGCGCGCCCACACACACATCACTTGAGATGGTCTGACACATTGATTATTCAGGACTGTATCGGTGCAATAGATGAGACTCATATACCGTGCATGGTGTATAACATAGATCAGACGCCCTATCGAAATAGACATGGTTTTCTCTCTCAGAACATCTTGGCAGCTTGCACATTTGATCTCAAATTCATTTATGTCTTAGCTGGGTGGGAGGGTTCTGCTAATGATGCAAGAGTCTTGAAGGATGCTATGAGTAGACCTTATGGACTTCCACTTCCACAGAGTAATAATCTGTACATAGTATTCCATCAATTAAAGAATATTTTTTAGTTTTATAATATTTTTTTCTCATTCATATTTTTGTTCTTGTTTGTAGATAAATTTTATCTAGTTGACTGCGGCTATCCAAATAGGCTACAATTTCTTGCTCCATACCGAGGTCAAAGGCACCATCTTTCAGAGTTCGACCCTGCTAATAATCGACAACGACCACGAAATTCAAAAGAAGTTTTCAACCATCGGCATGCGTCTCTTAGAAATTGTGTCGAGCGCATCTTTGGAGTTTTTAAGTCTAGATTCACTATTTTCAAGAGCCAACCTCCAGGTTTTCCATATGCCACACAAATAAAGATTTTCGTTGCATGCGTAGGATTGCATAACTTTTTAAGATTGGAGAATACAAATGATGACTTCGAGATTTATGATCTTCCACTAGAAGCTCCACGAAATGTTGCTGATGCAGATGATGACTCCGATGAAGAAGATGAGTTACAGACTCAACAAACTCAACGAGTAGCTGCGGGAGCTTGGAGAAATTCTATGGCGGAGGCCATGTGGGATGATGGAAGTCGAGTCACTCTAGGGATTTAGATTTTTATTTATTTGTAAACTTTATTTTTATAGTTATTATTAGACTAATCAATTGCTTATCAATCTTGTATTATTTTTAATATACAATTATCAATAATAATAATTTATACCCACCATTACCCCCACCAAATTATCCTACCAAATTATCCAACTTCATAAAATTATCCATCATTATCCCACCAAATTATCCTACCAAATTATCCCACTTTAAGAATTATCCATCATTGTTCTACTAAATTATCCCAGTGTCAAAAAATTATCCTATTTTACCAATTATCCCGATTAATGCTTTGGAAGCTATTTTACGTAATTGGTAAGAGGCAATGTGCAGAGTAGTTCATCTTGAACAACTTATTTTGAAATGTCTACTTCTTTTGCCCAACTTATTTGTGTCCCTCCTATTATGTCTGTTGACTTTATAGTCCTCTATCATCCAATTTTATGCAAGAATTGCCATGAGGAGGAGCTGCATTATGTCTGTTGACTTTATAGTCCTCTATCATCCAATTTTATGCAAGAATTGCCATGAGGAGGAGCTGCTTAGTTATTTGTTTTGGTCGTACGCTAAAGGGGATTCGCAAGCCAGTTTATGATACGGGCCTGTTTGGTTGATTTCATAAAATCGAAGAAAAGGAAATAAGATATGGTAACCATTAGAAGTGGATGAAAAGTCATGAAATGTGTTTCCTTAAAAATGAGTTACATCATCCAATAATATGGTGACAACTCATCTCATCTCATTTCTTTTTTTTTTAGTTTTAAAAAGTGAATCAAACACAAAAATAGAACTTATTATAGGAAATAAGATTATTATGATTGATTTCCTTATTTTTTAGCCAACCAAACAGCGCCTACATGTATAGAAGAAAGAGATATATGTATAATTAACGATAAATAACTCGACATGAAAAGAAACAAGGCATCAAACTGGTAACACAAGATTTATTAATGAAAAACAAAACTAGGCTAAAGCTTCAGCAGAGCGACGTCTGCAATATTCTACCAGATCTTTTTTAAACCTTTAAAATCTCTATCTCTCACAGAATGGCATGTAGATTGCTGCTGCTTGAATGGAAAGAACAACCTAAGTGATGGTCAGCTCACCCAAGAAAAGGCCAGGTGATGCTTAGGCTATAATCACTCATTGTACTAAAACTTGGAATAATTTGAGAGACTAGAACTCTCATTTTTGTATAGAAAAATAAAAAAAGGGGATAATTTTGTACCATTATCCCAATTCTAGTTTTGTTAGAGTTCTACTTGACTAACACTGTAAAATTTTGTTCTAATTTTAGTTCTATGTGACTAACACCTTAAAATTTTATCTCACAGATTATCTCAGTTCCAATTTTAAGTTCTAGGTGACTAACCCCCCATCACCCCCACCCCCAACTCGTTATTTAAATATTTAATTGAAAGAAGGTAACCGCTAAAGTGAAGTATAAATAGACAACACATGGAAATTTGAAAAATGAAGAAGTTGACTTAGTTTGATTTTCTCAATTATGGTTTTCTTTAAAAAATGCCATTTTTATATGTTTGGCTATGATTAGTAATGCTGAGGAAAAAACAAAGGAATTTACATACTCCAGTCCTAGTTAATATTAGAAGGCATATTGACACCAAAATAGATCTAATAATTTCAACATATCAGAGTAACAAGAAGGTGAAGGAAATAATAACTTAGTCAAAAATGACAAATTAATGAATGTGATCACACAAGACAAAAGATATAGGAGTCGAAATTTGAATTGTAAATTGATGCCTCAAGATAAAGATTTGGTAACCTTTACAAATCTTTTTCCCTCCTCTCTTAAAGAAAAAGCTAATTCAAACTCATCATAAGATCTACTTTTTTATTTTTATTTTGATGGAACGGTGGAAGGATTTTATTGATTAATCATGTCATGCATTACATATTTTGTCAATATCATAGGCATTGAATTCTCAAATATTCTCAGTACAATTATAAGATTTTGCTGCTTGAGGCCAACATATGAGCTACTTGGTTTCCATATCAAGACACAAAAGAAAAGCTATATAGCTGGAAGCTAGTGCTTATGTCTTGCAATTCATTGATAAGTCCTGCCATGTTATGGTTTGGTTTGCGAGCTTCTTGCAATATGTGGATGAGCTCCCTTGAGTCTGTTTGAAAAATCATATTTTTGGGACTTTCATTGCTAATAATTCTAGATAAGTTAAAGAAATTATAATAATTATTTAATTTGAAAGAAATCTCTTGAAGGATAAGTGAGGTCGAAGTAAGTACGTTACACGCCTGTAGTACAAAATTTGTTAATGCAAATCCTGACTCTATAAACTTTGAGATCTTGATGTCTTCCCAATCAAAGTTTGAAAATCCATATTGCCTGCAATTGCAAGAGAGCTTACGGAAGAGCCTTAACTAATTGGAGTATGACATGATTTATTTCCCTTTTTATTTATTATTTACAAGTATATGCATACCATAAAAAAATTTGTAAACGCAAAACATTTTATTATGCTTTATTTCGATAGCTTGAAGAATTGTCAATCATAAAAAAATTTGTAAACGCAAACCATTATATTAGACTTTATTCAGACGGCTTGAAGAATTGTCAATTATATTGCACAGATTACCTAACGTGCAAGTTACTGGTTATCAAGGAACAAGATTAAAACCATCCCAACACCAAAATGATACCATATATTTTAGTGAAAATATTGCCACAAGGGAATACTAACTAAGGTAAAATACACATTTTTTATCTCTTTTAGTTTTTCTAATAATGGCAAGAAGAAACAAAGCCAGATAAGAGGATATAATATATCACCACATTTTTATCATAGGAAAAAATCTCACTTGCGAGACAAATTCCATCAATGAGACAGTACAAGCGTTCCAATGCTCAAAACTCATTACACGATTTACTGAGTGACAAAATTAATTAACCTAAAAAATTAAGATAAAGTTTAGTTTTCGAATTGTTGGGGTCCTCTTTGGATAAAGGACACCCTCCAAAAAGTAGCGTATGCTGCTTGAATGTGGAGAGCACACGGTATTCTTTAGTAAAAGGCGAAAGAATAGTTCGCTTTGTGCTCACCACGCAGCTGCGTGCCTTTTCAACGAGTCAAGGCCCGTTACTTTATAGCCCGACACCCCCGTGACTCCTCTGAATTTGTCGATGTGGGACTAAACTGAAAGCAAAATCATCAAGCGAAAACTGGAACCATTTCTTTCTCCCCCATTCTGTTCTCTCTCTCGCTCGGGTCCAGCGAGGGCGTCCATCTCCCTTCGCCAGCCACAGAACACGGCAATTTTTACTTCATTATGCTCTGCCTTCATTTCTTTACCTTTTGCCCTCGTAATGCAAAATATCACTTCCTCATTTACGGAAAACGGTTGAAATTACGTCTTTGTGAACAACTATCGTTGTAATCCTTTTGATACCAAAACTGAAGTATAATCCTAAATCATGCTGAGTACAAGTCTAAGTTGCCAATAGATTCTTATATCTCGTAAGTTAAGTAGTTCAATTCAGAATTATGAAAGTTAAAATTTATTATATGTTTCGTACAACAGAAATGAAGTTCATTATTCTGTTTCTTACGACAGAATTGTATTTGGTGTTCGGGGCATTTGAGAAGGCTTCGGAGAAGAAGAATGGGTATGTGTTGCCGAGGTCGAAGATGGTGAATGCTGACCTTGGGAGGACTATTAACTCTGATGAGGTGTAGAGTGTCGTTAGGCCGATCGATTACTGAGGAGGAGGACGTTGAAGGAGAAATCCTTTGAAGAACTTGGATGCGATGTTGAGGTTGAACCCATGCGCGAAGACTGCGAGAAACGGCTTTGATTGCAGGGGAGCGGAGGGTGAAGGCCAAGAAGGTGAAGTTGGACGAGAAGAGGAGTAAACTGCTGCCTGACTCCATTTTAAAAGTTGTCATCTGTATGAGCTCAGTAGTTTAACGAAAATAGTGTTATCATTATAATTACTACGATGTAAGTTGTTAGTGATACGTATTTTATTTCGTTGCCAAATAAATTCGACGATTCGATTGTTCGTTAGTTTATGCTCTCGTCTCCTAGTGGTCGTATGTTCCTTCTCGTTTTTTGATCGATTTTTTTGTGCAGTATTTATGTGTTCACATCTCATCTTATACAATTCAAGTGCAATTTTTCTAAAAGACACAATTTAAGAAAATTGAAGTTCATCATTTTGTAATTATCTTTTCCCCTGTACGTGTGATTTGATTGTTTTTAATAGCTGCATTCTGTTTAGTTGTTCTTTTGTGGGATTCACGTTGTTATCTTGTTGGGGATTTTATGGAGATTAATCTGCGAAATTAAACACTAAACGAATAGCGACACAAATGAAAATACCACAAGCAAACAAACACCAAGATTTAACGTGGTTCGGCAAATCGTGTCTACGTCCACGGGGCAATCCAAAGAGAAATATTTCACTATGAATCAAGAGTACAATCCCTCCAAGTTACACCTGAACTCGAGGATTAAATCACAAGAGAAAGATATAGTGTTACTTCTAGGACACCAAAACCCTAAAACATATCTCACCAAAAATCTCCAACTCCCATGGAGAAATCAGTACCGTACCCTCGACGTCGTCGTCGTTCTGAAGACAATGGCTTTTGAATCATTACAATCGGACACCCGAGCTATCCGGAATCTGAACTTTTCTCTCTTCCTGTGACACTGTAGCAAACACGTGGTCACTGTAGCACAAAAGTACTATTCACCCAAAAAAACAGTTCATCTAAATATTGATCTGAGGACTCTCTTATATAGAATTCTCCAAATCTATTTCTATTTCAAATAGATCATCCAAATCCTCTTCTACATAGAATCCTAATTCATGTAGACTTCTTATAGATAGAAGTCTAATTCATATAGACCTCCTCATGTAGGCCTTTTCTTGGGCTGGACCCACAATCAACAATTGTGTGCGCACGGTTGAGGGAATGGTCTTTTCTTATCGCCGACATGTTATCAATTATAGATTTTGTAATAAAGGTACCAAAGTAAAACTGTTTTAGTTAACTTTTCGGCCAGATTTCGACATATAACTTTAATGGGCCATAACTTTTGATTTCCTTTATAGAATAGATATTATTGAAGGTTTTCAGAAATCTCAAGAGGTGATCTAGGGCTAGAAGTGCTAATGTAGGACGCATAACGATTAAATTCATGAAGAAGTGGGCTTTTCACGAGTCAAATGCGGACATAGATGAATTTTTGACTGATCGTAGAAAAACAACCATATCTCCCAATTCGAAAGATAAATTGTAACATGTTATATATGAAAATCGCCTATACTGATAAGACGGAGTCAATCCGTTTTGCAGAATCTCACAATCCCATCAGTAACACCCCGGTTTGACAGGGTTTTAGAAATAATCAGCATTTAGTTTATTTTTAGTAATAAAGTTAGAGTCAATTTAGGTTAGAAAATAAAATCAATTTTGATTTAATTAGGACTAATTTGTTTCCTTTATTATAGAGAGTCTTTTAGTTAGTTTTAAATTGTTTTATTATTTTTAGGAATTATGTTTTTTATTAGGAGTAGGCTTTGTTTTTCTATTTAAGAAGAAGGATTGTAAACCTCATGAATGAGATCACTTTTATCAATAAATTTCTATTATTATTTTTTCTTTGTGGCTTTGAAGATTTTTCTTTATGGATTCAAAGAGCATCCCTTGGTGGATTCCGATGTTTATTACTTCCGCGCTACGTTAAGTGCTTTGCAATTCTAGCCGACTTTTGAGGTCAAAGGAATTTGTCTTAAGGATCAAACTAAGTCGAAGAGTTTTCGTCTCTTTTAATTTCTAGTTTTTATGGAAATATCTTTTATTTCTAGGAAGTTTATTTCTTTTAGGAAAGTCTATTTGATATTTCTACTTTGTTTTATTCTCTATATAAGGGGGAATAATTTATGTAGACTCTTTATGTTGGCTTTTATATTATTCTGAAGTTTATTATTCTAGGGTTTTTATGGTTTGTGTCGTTTTTTCTCTTATGAGAACTAATAGTTATCTTCTTTAATTATGCTTCCGCTACATAAAAAATGAGCAAGATTAACGCCGTTCACTTAAATTAAAGTTGAGTTAATATTTTTTACGTTTGACTTTTTTTTTAAAAGAACTTATAGACTTTGGGGCTTTATTTAAATTACACTATGCAAAAAAGAGGCATTTGTGATGAAAAATTTTCGTGGTGGATAATTAGAATTCTGTCACAAAAAAGAAAATAACGATGAAATTCTGTCATAACGAATCCGTAGTCATATTCCCCATAGCTATTGCTCACCATCTGTAGCAGATAACATTATCAGCGACACTTGGCAACGGACATGTCCGCTTCGGCTGTGGATACAAACAATTTGTTGCAAAATTTTACGACAGAAATTAGCGACAATACCTCGTTGTTGTTTCATCGGCGATGGAACATCAGGAACAGAAATTCGTTGTAAACATCCTCACTTTTGGCACCATTGTAATGAAATTTCCATAGCAAGGCCGTCGTAAAAAAATAGTGACAAAATATTAGAAAAAGAAATTCGTTCATTCTGTGGCTGGTGATCCATTCTAGAATACTGACTCAAGACAGACTTTGCAAAATGGGAATGTTGGACACAAATGCCTGTGTCTTATGTTCAAATCACATTGAGGAAACCTGGAGGCACTTATTTTTTGAATGCTAGTTCTCTATTCAAGTCTGGAATAAAGTGATGGATTGGTTGGGATTTGCTTGGAGATCTTGCTATTGGAATCTCATCATCAATTGATATTGCAACAACCTCTAGGGTAAGAGTTTTATGAAGAATTTGAAGAGGATGACATTGTCGGTCACTGTCTATTTGCTTTGGCAAGAAAGGACCCTGAGGATCTTCCAGAATAAAAATAGAGAACCTGATCAAGCGTTTCGTGCTGTGAAGTTAGTATTCTTCTCCAAAATTTTGAATGGCGATATACCCGTCCACATGAAGGAGAAGTTAAAAAAATTGTAATGTTCTGTTCTTGATTAGTTTGTTTCCAAATTTTTAAATTTGGATTGTTGTTACCAAGTCCTTTTCCTGGATAGTTGATGTACTCAAATTCCAAAATTTGGTGATGAATATAATTCATTTTCATTGAAAAAAAAAAAGAAATTCATTGCAATAGGTGTTCACCAAAAAGCATAATTTGTTTCTTATTATATTTATTCTCTTCAGAAATATGTCATCCAAAAACTCAGTGCATCAAGAATAGGGGTGTCCATCCGGGCCGGCCCGGGCCGGGCAAAACCGAAGCCCGGGTCGGGCAAAACTGGAGCCCGGACCCGGGCCCGGGTGTAAGCGGCCCGGACACCGGGCCGGCCCGGTTTTGAAAATTTTTATTTTTTAATTTTTTTTAAGTTTTAAAGAAAAAAAGGCAAAGATATACATAATTTTTATTAAAATTTTATATTATTAATCATTTATAATTATGTAATTTACAAATATAAAAAATAAAATAATATAAAATAATTATAAAATGTATAGAAATAAACAAAATTAAAAATAATTATAGAATTCAAAGAGCCCCAATGCCCTATCAAAGACTTTTAAAGATATATGTTGTAGCTAGAATTTAAACCACTAACCTCCTCTCCAAACTTCTAAAGTTTACCACTAGACTAAATAGCACAAAATATTCATGTCATTCATATATTATACATAAACAAATTGTAAGTACTTATAGAAATTACATAAACAAATTGTGTTATACATAAAAATATATATAAAAAAAATATAAAATTATATATATATATATATATATATATATACTTATATAAGAGAGAGTATACTTATATATACTTATACATTTTTTATACATATATAATAGATAGTATACTTATATATATTTATATTCTAAGAGAGAGAGTATATATATATATATATATATATATATGGGAAACGTGAATCTAAGGTGACACCCTAGGCTCCCACCTAAGGATGCGATCTAGAATCACATAATTTCCTTTTTTTTGTGATCCGCTCCGTTGAACTTGATCTACACGTTCTTAAACCCAAACACATTAATTTTGGGGTGAACCCGTCGTGTTTTGACCCTTTATCCACTCGCTGTAAGTTTAACGGTTTCGAATGATAGAACTTTTTGCACGGCTCAATGAATGGTCAAAACACAACGGGTTCACCCCAAAATTGGTGTGTTTGGGTTTAAGAACGTGTAGATCAAGTTCAACGGAGCGGATCACAAAAAAAAATTAGAAAATGATGTGATTCTATGCCGCGTCCTTAGGTGAGAGCCTAGGGTGTCACCTTAGATTGAAACGGAACCTGAGCTCGAGCTCAGGAAATTTCCTGTGCTCGAGCTGACGTGGCCATGCAGGATTGGAGCGAATCCTGGCTGTGAGCGCGAGATGATGACCTGAGGGTTTTTTTGCATATTTCCTTTTTCTGGGTCATGGGTCATGGGTCAGCTCATTAATTCCCCACCTATTCCTGCACCTTATCTCTTCTCTTCCCCGTCATTTCTTCTCCTTTTTTTCTTCGCCATTTTTTTCTCCAGGCTTCTCCCAAGTTTATTTCCTCATTTAATTTCAAAAAATCCCTCGAGCGCTCGGGTTCCCCTCTTCTCTCCCGTTGTTCGGTTCCCAGCAACATTTCCATCTCATCCCCTTCTTGTAAGTTGTAATCCCCTTCATTTATTGTCGGTTTTTTTTTGTTTTAAAATTTGGTTTATGCAATCTAGTGACCTATTTTCGTCGATTTTCATTTCTGATTGGTTGCCGATAGGTCGTAGATTTCGTTTCTTTTACCTCAATTTGGTTGAAATTTGGTTTATGCAATCGGTGCTTAGGGTTTCTATTATTTTTCGTTGAAATTTGATTGTTTATGCAATCTAGGGTTTTTTCTGTTGATTTGTGGGTTTAAGTTACTAAATTAAAAATTGGTTTATGCAATCTAGTAACCTATTTTTGTGATTTGTGGGTTTTTTCTGGTGATTTCTGGTGATTTGTGGGTTTAAGTTACTTTTTTCTAGTGCTTTTCGTCGATTCTCGACCAGCTTCGAGACGACACCAAAGCCCCTCGACGTCGTTCTCAACCAGCTTCGAGCCGACGCCGAAGCCCTCGAGTCGTCGTGCAAAGCCGCCGCTCGAGCGATCGTCGCCGAAAGAACCCTCGACGAGCTAGCCAACGTCGAGCGCCCTCGACCGCTCGAAGACCCCCTTCGCAGCGATGCTCGCTCTTGCTCAGATGTCGGAGCTCAACGCGGGCCGACGAACTGCACCCCCCCCCCCCCCGGCCCCGAGCCAACGTTGAAGCCCCCTGCGGTCAAAGAAGGTTATAGGACGCCACGCCGCCCACCTGCTCCTCCTCATTTCAGTCTCTCTCCGCTGAGGCCGACCATCGGTTATGGATTTTGGCAGCGAAGATGTTCATGGTGATAGTAACAACAACAACGATTTCATGCATTTTCCAACAACGATGCTTGTTTCAAGGTACCTCAATAATATCATGAGTTTCACTTACATTAAATATGTTGTTTGAAATAGTAACATTGAGTAACATTATATATTTTTGAACAATTATCTTTATTTCAGAATGCAAATTGGTGAAAAACCGTGTTTAGGAATGAAGTTTAATAGTCATGAGGAGACCTATAACTATTATATAACTCGTATGCATTGATGATGGGATTTGGAATTAGAAAAAGCTCAGTGAATTACTCCAAGAAAAATTAAGAAGTGTTGAATAGAAAATTTGTTTGTGACAAAGAAGGTTATAGATCTAATAAAGACAAAAGAGATATAGGAAAAACTATTAATCATCGGCGAGAGACCAGAGTTGGCTGTAAAGCAATGATGAGAATAAAATTAATGGAGGATAAAACATGGAAATTTATAGGTTTTATTGAAGATCATACAAACCACATGCTCAGTAGTCCAGATAAGGCAAAGATGCACCAGTCACAACAACAATTTCATAGAAGTAAAAGGTGTAAAAAATGATCCATTGTTTTCAAGAAGAAGGTATTACTCCTTCCACTATTTCTCGTGTTATTAACGCGACAAGTGGAAGAGAAGATGAATTAGTGACACCACAACAATGCGTTGACTATATGAAAACTCAAAGGCACAACAATATTAGCAATGAATGTATATCTGTTATCCAATATTTTTAAAGAAAGGCAGCTAGTGATGCAGATTTTTATTTTGCATTGGAAGTAGATTGTACTGGACAAATGAAGAGTGTTTTTTGGGCAGATGGAAAATCAAGAGCAGCTTATTTGAAGTTTAATGATGTTATTGTGTTTGATGTGACTTATAAAACCAACAAGTTTAGTCTTCCATTTGTACCATTTACTAGGGTGAATCATCATAGGCAATCTACTTTATTTGGTTGTGCATTGCTAGCTGATGAATAAGAAGAAACATTTGTTTGGTTGTTTCAGGAATGGTTAAACTACATGCATGGAATTGAACCAGGTGCTATCATCACAGACCAAGACTGAGCAATGTGTAATGCCATTCATAAAGTCTTTCCAAACACAAGGCATCGTTATTGTTATTGGCATCTGCAGCGACATATTGCCGGTCATTTGCATACTTTGAATTCTATTTATGGTGAAGAATTTCAAAAATATTGGGACTTGTGGTGTAATAGTGGTAACATTGAGAACTGTAATTTGCATTGGCTGGAGATGAAGGAGAAGTTTAAGATAATAGAAGAAGAAGATGGATGGCTGCAAACTATGTACATGTATCGAGACCATTGAGTGTCATGCTTCTTAAAAGGCATTTTTTTCTTAAAAGGCATTTTTTTACAGTCATGGAATATGTACACTCTAATGTTTGGAGCAGTGTGCTTCCTTATAATTATGACAAACCTTAGATAAATCCTATTATTCTCTATTTCACTTATACTGCTTAACCAGTTCTTGTCCCCCGATTAGATTTGAGCATATTGGTGCTTACCCTTTGCCAGTACTTTCTAGTTAGGCTAGTTCTTTTCTCATATTTGAGTTCTTGAAATCCATCTTGAGCACAATACTTAATCAACTTGTAATGGCTAATCCTTATTGCTTGATCTGTTTTGGGAAATGTATGCTCTGCTCCACATGGTTTACTTTACATGGTTGACCCATTGGAAACAAATTCTCTGAACATAATGGATTTTTTATTTCAGATTTCAAATTGACGTTGACCATGACATAATTTGCTACTCTTCTGCCACAAATTAGAAGCCATTTCTATAGGTACAAAATCCAAAATATTGAATAAGTGTCCCAATTCGAATAATACCTTCACAATAACAAGAGAAGAAACATTAATGTATGCAGCTTATCTATACTTCCTCAGAACCTAAAGTATGTAACCATGCTGATATATATTTTTCTTCAAAGGTATCTTCTTTGTTCAATATAAGTGGGTCACTTTCTTCAATACACCTGATATATATTTTTCTTCATACTTAAGTTTATTGTTTTGTTATATTCATACAGTTGACAAGACGATGGGCTGAAGAGCAACCAGTACCTCCTTTGTCGCTGGATGTGAATCCTGATTTAATTCTTGTCTTATGTTTGGTGTAATGTATTTGTACCTGAAAAAGAAATGATCTGCTCAACTTAGACTTCATTGATGTATAAATGTGAACCAAGTTGATGTAATATTTGTGAACATGCTGGTTATTAAGTTGGTCTTATGTTGGTGGCTTTGTATGCGAGATATTTCACTATTTGTAAACATGCTGGTTATTAAGTTGGTCATATTTGTGAACATGATGGTTATTAAGTTGGTCATATTTGTGAACATGCTGGTTATTTGTGAACATGCTGGTTATTAAGTTGGTTATTATGTTGGTCTTATGTTTGTGGCTTCATACTTTACTATTTGTATGCGAGATATTTAAGGACTTGCTTTCTGTAATAGTATGTCAAAGACTGAGCATTACTGAAACTTTTGGGCATGCTGTGATATTTCCTATAATTCTCAATGCCAATCATGGTCTTGTATTCTTGACGAATAATAGCTGTTTTTTTAACACTTCATTGATGTTTTCTCTTGATTAGCATTCGCCAACAGAACAAAATATACCGACTTCATCAACTAGTTCTGGAGAAATATCATCAGCTAGCTCATTGGATAGTGAAGATAAAGTGGAAGAAAAAGAAAATGATCTTCAGAAAAATGTGCATAACTCAGAAAAATCATAACTGAACCATAACAAATAACCATAACCAGTTTGAACATTCGTTTACAATAGGATATTTGGATAAATTAGTCATCCACTGACATATTACCGATCATTTGAATATAACACAGAGCAACATTATCAGTACAATGATACTTATAAATTTTAAATATAAAATTACATCATTCAGTATTTTTTCAAAACCTCATCATTTTTCCAGCCTTTCCAGCCTTTTTGTGATGTTCTTAGTATCACCCACCCATTCGAAGAAGTTATAACCCTTGCAATTAGGTCCCTTGTATCTCGAGCATCCATAAAATTCCAAGCCCCTATTGTGTCCTTGCTTGCACATCCATATTCTGCAAATTAACTCACAATAATATATTTTTTGAAGTAAACCCTCATCTTCTTCTCCACTGAACTCTTCCAAAAAGTTCTTCATCTTTTATCTGCAAAAAACATACCACAAACAAGATAAAATTCATACAAAAAGTCAATTTAAGTTTTTTTGGCAGTCTTTGAAACTTGTTAGACAGTTGAAGGGAAATTTCCAGACCACACACAAGTTCAACACCGATCTTACACAGTCGTTTGAATGTTGAGTTCAAAAACGAGTAGTTTAGTTTCCAACTTTTACCAATCAATATACTAGTGTTGTATGTTCCAACTTTTTTTGGCAGTCTTGTTCTCCATTTGTCTTTTTTTAACCCTTGAAAGATCTGAGAAATTGCTCCCTAGAAGACAAGATTGAAGATTGCCAAAAAAATTTTAATAAGAACAAAGAATTATAAATACTAGTGTTGTAAAAGAACTCTTCATGAAATCGACGAAAATAGGGGAACCGATTCACAAAAATAGGTTACTAGATTGCATAAACCAATTTTCAATTTAGTAACTTAAACCCACAAATCATCAGAAAAAACCCTAGATTGCATAAACAATCAAATTTCAACGAAAACTAGAAACCCTAAGCACCAATTGCATAAACCAAATTTCAACCAAATTGAGGTAAAAGAAACGAAATCTACGACCTATCGGCAACCAATCATAAATGAAAATCGACGAAAATAGGTCACTAGATTGCATAAAGCAAATTTTAAAACAAAAAAACCAAAAATAAATGAAGGGGAATACAACTTACAAGAAGGGGATGAGATGGAAATCTTACTGGGAACCGAACAACGGGAGAGAAGAAGGGAACCCGAGCGCTCGAGGGATTTTTTTGAAATTAAATGAGGAAATGAACTTGGGAGAAGCCTGGAGAAAAAAATGGCGAAGAAAAAAGGAGAAGAAATGACGGGGAAGAGAAGAGATAAGGTGCAGGAATAGGTGGGGAATTAATGAGCTGACCCATGACCCATGACCCAAAAAAAAGGAAATATGCAAAAAAAAAAACCTCAGGTCATCATCTCGCGCTCAGCCAGGATTCGCTCCAATCCTGCGTGGCCACGTCAGCTCGAGCGCTCCTTGTCATAGGAGGGGATTTCCTCCTTGACGCACATATGACACAATCCCCACCATCCATATAAAGTAGGAGAGAGTGTGTGAGTTGATGGGGATTTGTGCCTACTTTATGAGGATGGTGGGGATTGTGCCACATAGGCGACAAGGAGGAAAATCCCCTCCTATGACAAGGATACCCATTAATATATATATATATATAGGGAGAGAGAGATTAATGGGTATCCTTGTCATAGGAGGGGATTTCCTCCTTGACGCCTCTAAAATCACATGATTGAGCGACATTATGGACGATCCGCTCCGTTGAACTTGATCTACATATTCTAAACCCCAACACACCAAGTTTGGGGTGAATCCGTCGTCGTTTGACCCTCCATCGAGCCATGTGAAAAGT